GCGGCAAATACGTCTCGCTTCCCTCTTCAGATCCCTAAAGCGGTCCCACATAGTGCGCGTTGCGCCCGATCGCAATGTGGCCCTGTAGGCGGCATATTTTTTCTCTGCAGCTTTCAGACACTCCTCATCTTACCAGTTGTTCTTTCGGGCTCGCTGAAATCCGACTACTTCTTCGGCGGCGGTACTTAATGAGCGGGAAATGTGGTTCCACTGCTCGCATATGTCGGTTTGTTGAAGAGTGCTCTCTGAGAGCAGGTGTGAGAGTCGAGTAGCGAAAGCGCTGGCTGTCTGTTGTGATTGCAGCTTTTCGACGTTAAGCTTTCCTTGCATATTTGGGCGCACATTTTTTGCTGCACAGAGGCGGGTGCGTATCTTGGCTGCAACAAGATAGTGGTCCGAGTCGATGTTTGGGCCTCGGAGTGTGCGTACGTCTAAAACACTGGAAGCGTGCCTTCCGTCTATCACAACATGATCGATTTGGTTTCTCGTTTTTCGATCCGGAGACAGCCACGTAGCTTGATGGATCTTTTTATGCTTGAACCTAGTACTGCATACTATCATGTTTCGGGCCCCGGCGAAGTCGATCAATCCATTGTCGGGCGTTTCGTCGTGTAAGCTGAATTCTCCGACGGTGGTTCCAAAAATCCCTTCCTTGCCCACCCTGGCAATGAAGTCGCCAAGCACGATTTTGATATCATTACGGGGACAGCGCTTGGCTGCCTCATCCTTTTCTTCCGTCGGGGCATGGGCGAGAGCGAGATGTTGTAGAATCTCGCGTTGATGCGGATTATGGCTAGACGCTCGTCCACCGGGGTGAATGACAGTACTCGGCGACGGAGTCTCTCTCCCACCACAAATCCTACTCCGAATTTGCGCTACTTTACATGACAGCTATAGTAGATGTCGCAAGGCCCCAGACATTGCTTGCCTTGCCCCGTCCAACTCATTTCTTGGATGACGGTGATGTCAGCTTTTTGCCGGCAGAGGCACCTTCCCCATTAAGGGTCCGGACATTCCAGGTGCATGCCCTCAAATTGTAGTCCTTTAAACGTTTGCCGTGGTCGTTATCATAAGGGGGGGATCTCATCCGAGGCTTTGCCTTGCTTCTTCACTGGAAGTAGTTTTTACGTGGCGGGTCCCTAACCCAGCGCACAACCCACTGCTGGGACGGGGGTGGTTTCGCAACCAAATACCCGTTTATATAGCGATCCGCTTGCTCCAAGCAGACACCCGCTTGCAGCCGCACCTACTAGTGAACAGACGATGCAAACTTCAGTGAGCCCTTAAACTGAATAAGTCGGAGTGGCCCCACCGAAGCTCCCTCTCTTTCTGCCGTGACCCAAGGCTCCACTCGGATTGGTTACCGCATCTCGCACATGGGTTGCTCACGTTGCACAGAGTGCGCGAACGAGGACGCAAGAGTCGGGATTGAGTATAGCCATGCAACTGTAACTGCATACCCAGCGCAACGACTATACCCCATTGCATTCCACTAAACCCCTTTTCCCTCCATATTATTGCCTTCTTATAATCAGGCAATATTAAAAAAAAATTTTTCACCGTCGAATAAACAGTTACTACGTTTATACGCACGCATTATTTGCAAATAACAATTTGCAAAATTGTAAACTTTGCCGTATAAACGCTGAGTTAATTTTTTATTTGCAAATAACTAAATCACGCAAATAAGTATTGATTAGTGGTACTATTTGCAAATAAGCGCAGGACGCTGCCATTCTTAGGTTAATTTTCCTTTTCGATGGTCATCTTATTGCCTTTTTATAATCAAGACGTTGCCATTTTTAACTTTATTTTCCTTTTCGATGGTCATATTATTTCCTTTTTATAATCAGGAAATATTAAAAAAGAATTTTTCACCATCGAATAAACAGTGAGTTAGGTATTTGCAAATTATTTTTATTTGCAAATAGCTTACGTATAAACGTGGTAATAAATGAGTCTTTAAGGAGTCCTATTTTGGAGCCTTTATGCTCATAATGAGCCCATTTAAGAGTCCGAAATGAGGGTGTTTCCCTTCCTGCGAAGATCGACCGTTGTGTACGGGAAAGAACCTAATACAAGGTTCGATAATCTGACTGCTGTCTCTCTCGCACCGCTGCCTTACGACGCGTTTACATTGGACAATGCTGTCAAGACAATGAAGATATACGTATTAGTTGTCAAAATTGTTCCAATGGAAAAGTATGCATGTATTAGTGAAAAAGTGTGCATGTATTGCAATTGTCATGACACAAGAATGATAGAATACAAGATTGCGCCGTCCTGGCCGTTGACATTTGTGTACCACAAGTAAACAAAGAATATAGCGAAAGGAAGAACGAGTTGAAACTGCCAAAACAATTCACTTTACAGCGGAAAACGTGTTTTAATTTTGCTAAATGCGAAAATATTGCATTTTGACATAATCTATTAGAGAATAGTGAGCGTTAGTGCACTCGATTGCTTTGCAATCGAAGCTGCTGCAGCAAACGTTTTAGTGCACTCCATTGCTTCGCAATTAAGGCTGATGCAGCAAACTGCTGCAGCATCCTAGCGGGATCGATTAGTTAACTTGTTAAAGGAGGATGCTTGGAGCAGAAGCGAAGTCATTGTGCTGAAATTCTGTCAATATAATAATAAATATACACTCCCAGAACGGCTTTACCTTGCCCTATGTACACAAAATGCAGCGATTCGTCGCAGCGCTACACTTGCATCTCGCATTTTGACGGCTGTCGAAGTTTAACACACGGCACTTCATTTCATTAGTTTTTACGCAGTCTCCAACTCAAAAATTACTCACAAATTTCAAATTAACACCATTTAAACTGATTTTTCAATTATAATTAAAATTCTCTTTGTCGCTGATTTGTAAACAAAGGTTTATTTACAAGTTACCGTAACTGTCAAAATCGCCAAAACCAAAGTAGCGGTACCACTGACGGCGCCAGCTTTGTTCGCTGCACCGTGGTCATGACAGTATTGTGCGGTGTAAAGGCCTGTATGCAGCTCTCAAGAAGAGCAAAAACTCCATATAAAATGACGTATAAGAAATGGCTAAGAAACTTTCTTGAGTAAAATTTCCTTAAGGCAGTACGCAGTTCTTAAGAAATTTACTACGCTTTCTACTACGGTTTTCTAAAGTTTATTATGAAAAAAGAGCACAGGGCAACCCAGGTTTGCAACAGAAATATATGCCCGTTCCATTATTTCTTGAGGAAAGAGTGAGGCAACAGGCTGTGAAGTATCAAAAATATCAAAATGCCTTGGGCGCACACACGAAATAATGGCAATTTTTTCTTGACCGTTTTCTTGAGAGCTGCATACAAGGCTTACACCCTAAGTTAGCAGTGGCACCGTGTTGCTTCTTTGCAAATTTACTCGGAAAAAGTGTAGCTTTGCTATGAAATAAAAGTATAAGCTTTTGTGCAATATGTTTATTTGTATATGCATATGCAGCACATTTAACTGATGAAAATATAAATTTTTTTAAATCTCATAGTAGTTTTATATTAATCACTCAATCCTTGTGCAGTTTTTATACAGCTAAAGAGCACATAAATTACGTAATTCACGTAGATATATTAATATTTCGTTCAATAGTTCGTTGAAAATGCCAGATTTCCTGCAAAAACATTAGAAATTACAAAAGGAATTTCAGTACTAATTGCTTACTTTGCGTACTTATCTACTACCGTTTTCGCAACAAGGGATTCCTTTCTTCTCCTTTCTCTGTTCTTCGTTAATGCAACTCCTTGTAAGGGAATGTCAAACCGCGGCTGTCAATAATTATCTAACCTTGTATTACAGTTCAAAATGGCTCTTCGACGAGTATGGTCGTGCAGACCTGTCGAGTACTTTTAAAGCAAATATTGGATTAAAATATAAACAAATAATGAAGTCGTTTCATTAAATTAAACGTATAAAGTTTTAATTCAACTGAAGATACTACTTTAAAATAATAATTACATAAATAATGTAATAGACGCTGACTTAAAGAAAATTAATAACACAATTAAATGGAAATGTTAAAGCATACCGTTTAAACGGTACTATCGTATGTGAAAATTAACTGAAATGAAAAGTATACACATATATAGGTAACTGTTCCAAGAAACGGAACAAGTAACAGTTCAAAGAAAAATTTTTTGTACTTCTAATATTGGAAATTATAACCTAAAAATATTTTGACGAATAACTATAAAAGTATCAAATTGGATCAATAACATAGCGATATGAGGACGTAGTTCCCTGCCATCAAAATACAATCAATTATCCAACTGGAGGAATAACCTGGCGACATGAGGACTTAGTTCCCAGCCTTTTAAATACAATCTGAATAATATATTCTGACATATAACCAATAATTATTAAACTAGAGGAATAACCAGGTTACTTGTGGACCATTAAAAAGCAATAGACTTTTTTAATTGATATAAATGATAAAGAATTGAAAATAATAAGACGCATGATACAAATATAAGCAGAAACTTTTGAAGGTGGTTCTGGCCCTCAGCGGTATAACCATACGTGTATCAGTGGAGCAACGTTTGGACACATCAGTGGAATATAACGTATCCATATGAAGATATATATTAAAAGCAGAGGAATAACCTGGCGATGGTGAAAACCGGCCAACCTACCCAAAGTCAAAAAAAAAACCTTGTATTATTGAATCATGCACAGGGAATTTACAAGTGCCGATTTTTCAGGCGATTTTTAGTTGAAAGCAACAATCGCCTGGTATAAACGGCCTTTCAACTAATAGCTTTCAATGAAGTTGGTCGGCGACTACTTTCGTTCATTTTTTGGATCAACTAATCGCCTGTGAAAGTTGAATCATGTAAATTCCCTATTACCAAAATATCGATGTCAGCAGCTCATTTAAAAACATCGATATATCGATGTTTCTCCAATTCTAGTTCCTAATCGTAACATCTCATTCCTCATTAATTTATCCTAATATTCGGTTCGTCGTTCAATGTTTAAATCTTTGAAATATGTTAAGTACGCATATAACTTTAAGCGTGACTTCCGTCAGGAAATCACTTTCAATATGAAGTACCTAAATGTTGCGGAAAAGAACGATGCTGCGAAAACAATCGCGGGCCTTTTATCAATAGGAACAGCAACAAGGGTAGGCAGTACTAAATAAACCTGAAACTCACTTTATCACATTCTTGTTTTAGCGAGAAGGGTTATCTGTTTATAACAAGATTTACGAATTCCAAACAGAGATAAATGGACGAATGAGTAAAATGGTTATGACATCAGTATCCGGTCATTTGCTCCAACTGGAGTTTATTGGAGCCTATCGACGATGGAATGAAGTTGATCCTTCGGCGTTGTTTAGTGCGCCTGTACAAAAAGGGTGTAATGAAAATTATCAGCCAATTTTGCGAACATTAGAGAAGGAAGTGCGTAGTTGTAGTGGGCTAATAATATGGACGGATTGTGATAGAGAAGGAGAAAACATTGGCTTCGAAATAATTGATGTTTGTCGTAAAGTTAAGCCGAACCTTAAAGTTTACCGCGCGGTTTTTTCTGAAATAACCAAGGCATCGGTTCATCGAGCGGTTCAACAATTAACTGAACCTAACAAGAAATTAAGTGATGCTGTGGATGTACGTATAGAGATTGACCTTCGAACAGGTGCGGCAATTACACGGTTTCAGACTATGAGACTACAACGTTTATTTCCTGAAAAAATTGCCGATAAGCTGATTTCATACGGTAGTTGCCAAATACCAACTTTGGGGTTTGTCGCTGAACGATACAAAGAAATTGAGGCATTTGTATCTGAATCATTTTGGAAGTTAAAAGGTAAATTTTATTGGAATTTTTAATGTGTTATTATTATGGGTACTGTTTAATATGTGGCCCAACTATTTCGGGGTGTTGCGTCCAAAGGGGCGGCCCGATCCAAAAAAAGGGAAATGTTTAGCTATATTTGTACAACGATTTAAGGGTGGGGGCGGAGGGGGAGTGATGTAACCTTGGGAAAGGATGAGGTAACTAGAATTCCCTTCCTGTGTGGTGAACCTGGGGCTGCCGCCCCAGTGATGTCTATTTTGGTGTTTTATAAAAATATCTTGTATTTAAAAATGTATATACAAATTTATAACAAAAATTTGCAACAAATACCATATTTCCAACCGACATTATTGTTAAATTAGTGCACAGATTTAGTAAATTAAATTTTTGTAATAAAGCGTGAACTGTTGTCTACACGTGTGTGTAAAAGTTTTTTGATTCGATTCACGCGTTTGGGCACAGCAACCCAAAATCGTTGTACAAATTCATAAACAGTACCCAAAAAAATTGGCATACATCAAGATAACCAACCGTTCAGCTATAGAAATACTAAAAATGCAGATAGCTAGTACTTTTTACGCTGATTTTAACTATATAAATATTATTGCAGCAATTAAAAAGTAAAGTAGATATAAAAGGTAAAACAAAAAAAATTTGAGATTTTAAAATATTGATATTTTATAAACTATGTAACCGATTCAAAAGGTAATTATATCAAAATAAAGACAATTAATTCAAAATATTATAAAACAAAAAAATGTCATAATTTTTTCATAAAATAACCTTTTTTTAGGAAAAGTCTATAATCAATACTAAAAAAATTTATATTATTTAGAAAGTGCAAGTTTTTACCTTTAATTTGATATACATATTATATCATTTGCTTTTGAGTTTTCAGAATTCAGTGTTAATAAAAAATATAAATGCATGTATGTGCAAATGCATAATGTAGTTATTCAACGGGTTGGCTTTCACGTCCATAAACCTAGCTGACCCAAGTCGCCGAAAATCAATAAAAATTGGCTAGGAATTAGGTGTCTTTTAGGTGTTAATTAGGGCCTCCAAAATTAATTTAGGTGTTCCTTTGGTTTCCGAGAAATTCGCAAAAATGTGTGGGTCAGCTAGGTTTACGTAAACCTAGCTGACCCATCGTTAAATTTAGGTTTTAAATTCTCCAGATATATGCTGGAATTAGGTGTCTTTTAGGTGTTCTTCAACGCCACTAAAACTAATTTAGTAGCTCCATTGGTTTCCGAGAAATTCGCAAAAATGTGTTTTTCAGTTAGCTCAGCGCTGTTAAGCTAGCTGAACAATCTTAAATTTTTTTTTTTAATTTTCGAAATACTTATATGCAGGAAATAGGTGTCTTTTAGGTGTTCTTCAACGCCACTAAAACCAATTTAGT